CCCCAAAACCCCAAAACCCCAAAACCCCAAAACCCCAAAACCCCTGATAATCTAGATATTATTGTAATAATAAATAATTTAAGCATGGGAAAAGTTATGTTCAAAGGACAAGCTTCCTACAATGGAAGGTAATCATCAAGAGATCAGTCGACATTCAATCTTATTTTCAATGTCTAAGTTTATTATGACTATCAGTTTCATTGCTCATGTATTTATTTTAGGCAAGATGAAGTAGAAGAGATTGAAATAAACGTTAGTAAACCCGTCTCGAAGAATTTTGCTTTACTCAGGTTTTGGTCCCTCAAAGACCTCAGAAAAGTGATAAACAGGCATTCAAAATACCCTGTATTACTGAACAAATTCCAATTTAGAGACCTCATGGTACTATTTTGTATTAAAACATAGAGTTCTCGACACGGAAGTGTATTTGGCTTGGATAAGAATAACTCTGACTATACTTTTAAACAACTAGCCTCCTTTACGCCTCACAAGATGGATCCGAAATTGCTGAACAGTGTGATCCATAACTCAATAATGTCATCCCTCAATAAGGATAAAGAAGTAGTTGATGGGATGAAACCTAAAGCTATAAATAAAATATGCTTCTATGAGCTAATGTCAGCCATGATAATCATGAGCCACGCTAACTATTACAACAAGGTCAGATTTTTGTATTAAACCTGTTTGGTAAGTTCTAACTCATAAATCATAGACTTCGACGGTGACCAAGGCATCGATCTTGACGAGTGCGCAATGATGGTCGTCTGCATTCTTGAAGGTTGGGGCAAATTCATCAAGCAAGAAATGCCATCGAGAGAGTATCTTGAGAGAGCAGCCAAAATAATGTAAGCTAATGAGTTGATAGACTTAGAATCTCAGCCACGCCTGAGTCTTCATCAGATGAAAGAATTACAATGAAAATACTTGGTGATTGGATCGACCAAAATGAAAACATGATGTCTATGTTGATGATGTTTGAGCCAAGCGATAAAATTGAAGAAAGATTGGCATTATTTTTACCATTCAAAAGAGATTCCTCACATCTTCCAATTCTTTTGAATAAATATCTAGGAAAGAAGATAATGGTGGATAATAATATGCAAAATTTTGCCCAGAATAAGAACTTTAGGAGGTCTGAAAAGGAAGAACCAAGATTTAACAAGACTTCTATTGCAATTGCTTTGAATAAAAGAAGAAAGAATCAAAAAGATGGCAGAAGATCTCAGCCAAGGTTATCTTCAAGGATTACGAATTCAATTGCAATTCCTCTCTCAATAAACCGGTTGTCTGATCCTGGGTTCTACAAACTTCGCAAGCTTAAAAACACGAGTTCCTTGCCAAATCTCGATGGAGAATCAGCTAAAAATCTAATCAGCAGGATCAAAGAGCAGCAAAGCTTAGAAGAGAGCCCTAGCATAAAAGCATATCGCCGCAGGAGTCTAGTGTAACAACTTTATTCGATAAAATATAGTCATCACAAGAAAGATATTAAGAACGTGACCTTAAAAATTGGAACTAAATAAGTTAATCTCAAAAAGACCCAGGAACAAAAATATTATCACAGTGAAAGAGAAGACTATCAAGAGAAAGGATGTGATCTTACTCAAGGAAGAGTTTGACTCCTTCTACAACAATAATAAATATTCTAACGGGCCAAGTCATGCCAATCTCCCTTGTCTGTCTAAAGGAGGTGAGCTAGACCCTGAAATTGCGAAGAAAGGTAGAGATCTGTGCTCTAACCCTATAGTTTCATTTAAAGATACCCTCAGAAAGTACGCTCCAGGTGCCTCTAAAGAAGACATGGAGAAAATGCTAAGCTGGGCCAAGAAGGAGGAAGAAATTGAAGAAAGAGGCATAATGAACTACAAAATCCAAAAATATAACAACAACGAGAAAGTAAATAAAAATGTGAGGCTCAAACAGATCAAGGATTACATCCATATCTTTGATGGCCTGGATAAGGACAGAGACTCCATGCTGACTTTCAAAGATTTTAGGAATAGTTACAGCCATAATATCTCTGACAAAGACATTGAAGGGTACGACAGTTTTGTATTTTACCAATAGGTTCTTTACAAGGTTTGGAAAAACAATTGGAACTGACCATGACAATGACTTGATTAGCAGAAATTTTGGGCAGCAAGATAGCGTTGGAGAACAATCTAAACTTACTCTCATCGAGTATCTCAAAATAATGCTTCCTCAGGGCTCAATTCTAGGTATTATTCCCTTCTAAAATATAGATGAAAAAGTTACACAAGAAGCCTTAGATTATCACAAGAAATTATTGTTAAGAAAGAAACCATTTTAAAAATAAAATAATTTTGGGGTTTTGGGGTTTTGGGGTTTTGGGGTTTTGGGG